GAAAACTGCTCAGATTATGCTTCAGAAAGAATCTACTGGCGATAATGATGCTTCTCCTTGTAGCTTCATGATACTGGATGTTCACAATCAAATAAATATGATTATTCGGGTTGAGAAAGTCTCATACGTTGGGCAGTGAAACAAATTAATAAATAACTAATCTTCAAATAGATCTTTTTATAAATATGATCATAGAAAACTAGAAATAGGCAGTGACTTAGAAGGGTTTAAACAAAGTATAAAAAGACATACTGAGAGAGAGAGAGAAAAAGGGAGAAAGGGAGAGAGTATCACTGCTAATGCATGATGCAGTCTACCTAAGTGGGAAATGATGGGAATAGCCTGGGAGGTACCAAGAATAGCAAAAAACAGCCAAAGCAGAAATAAACATACTTTATAAATATATGAGTGAAAAGAGATTATGTGTGTCCATGCACGTGTGTAAAAAATAAGGAGATTAGAAGACAGTCTGGCCGTTCCTTAAAAAGTTAAACAGAATTACTATTTGAGCCAGCAAATTTTACTCCTAGGTATATACAGAGGAGATGATATATAAAACATATGTCCACCCCAAAATTTGTACATAATTATTTACAGAATCATTATTTCTAACAGGCAAAGGGTGGAAACAGCCCAAATGTCCTTCAAGTGATGAATGGATGAACAAAATTTGATACACATACAATGGAATATTATTCAGCCATAAAAGGGAATGAAGTGCTGATTCATGCTACGTGAATGAAACTTAAAAACATTACACTAAGTCAAAAAGATAGTCACAAAAAGCACATATTATTACATTATTTGATTCCATTTATATGAAATGTCCATGATAGAAAATCTACAGAGACAGAAAGTAGATTAGTGGTAGCCTAAGTCTGGGGACAATGGGGAGATAGTGGGATGACAGCTAAAGGACATGGGGTTTCTTTTTGGGGTGATGAAAATGTTTTAATTTGTGGTGATGGTTGCAACACTCTGAATATACTAAAAACCACTAAATTGTGGTAAATTGATGGTAAATGGGTAAATTGATTTAAATGGGTAAATTGATGGTATGTGAATTAGATCTCAATAAAGTTGTTACCAAAAATAAAAACAAAAACAAAAAACAATGAGAATAACTTTGGAAACACAAACCTAAAATGAAAAAACCAAAAATCAGTGAGGAAACAGGTAAGAGAAAGTGCCTACCTGAGATCTAAAAGACTGAGTAAGGAAGAAAAGTAAGGATATGTGAGCTGCCTATTGGTGTGGGTATAAAAAGAATAAATAGCAGGTAGCAGATGATAAATATTATTAATAGTTACATATTTTGGAATGTTCATTTTCAAACATTCAAAAGTGACTTGCTTTTGATGATGTAATCTATGTTACATTGTCTGGTAAAACTCAGTGTCTAAAATTTGCTAACCACTGTGGCAAACATTCATTTCATGAATTATCTATTTCATGTGGTAAAATTCCTACTGCATGAGAAACTGGCATAACTCAAATTATGACTAATTCACGTCTGTCTGCCCTACAGCACTTAGCTTGATGCCTTATACACAGTAGGCATCCAATAAATATTTGATGAATGAAACTAACCATCATAGCCAGAACTTGAGGCTCTGTAATTACAAAACATAACTGAGGCCAAATATTAGCCATTAAAAAAAAAAAAAAGCAGAACATTATACCATTTGAAACATTTTAATGGACCTTTAAATGAGAATTCTAATTCAGTTAACAACTAAATTACACACAAACATAATTTAGTAATTTAATATGAAAGTTAAAAGATTTGTTGGAAAGATAACATTTTGGGAAATGCTTAGAAAATGTTGTGATTTTATTCATAGTATATACATCATAAAACAGATACTTTCCATTATTTTGGTTACTTCAAAATTTAAAATCTGCTTGTTTTTCAGTTGAATTTTTTCATAACAAATGCTGAATTCTGACCTATTTTTTTCCCTGACAATATCAATAGGCTGCCTGACTACATGATACAATTATGTTTTTAGCATTTAAATTTAAAAGACTATGGCTCAGTGTTTAAAAAATAAATTAATTAATAAAAGAGAAACATTATTAGGGGTAAAATGAAAACAAATTCATCACATGATAAAAAAATCACTCCTTAAAAATCAATAAGTGGTGTGAACATTATTTCACTTAAACTACTTGGAAGCACTCTAACACCAATATACAAATAAAACAGAATCCATAGCCTGGGATGATACAGTGGCTTTCACTAATTAGGAGCTAGCTGACAACATAAATAAAAATGAATGGAAGAAAAAATTAAAAGAAACTTGTTTTTAGCTTAATTGTTGGTGCAGAATGTATGGTAGGGGCTGGCTGTCTGGCAGCTGCTTTAGCTTTGCTAGCTTGGCTTGCTCGAACAGCAGTTTCTAGGCGTATTTTCAACTCAGGAGCAGCCCCCATTACTGTCTTGAAAGCATGTGGATATAAAGGTCCAATATGCATTAAATTCTGGAGTGCAAACTCATGAAGGTCTTTGGAAGCTGAACTTGCTGAGGCAAAAGAATTTTCATCCAGCAGGTAGGAGATTAAAGTGGGAACTAAGAGAGCAAGTAATTGGACTCCTGCAAATAACAAAGATAAAATATGAAGAATGATCACGAACTCAAAGATTACAATAAACTTTAATTTAAAAACTAGGCAATTACCACAGAAGGCTGAATTATAAGAAAATATAAGTAAACTTGCACAATCTATTTTAGAACTCAATGATAACTCATAATTAATATTAAATATCTACTAAATGCTCAAGC